TGCTGAACGTGTGGGAGGCTTCATGACGAACCGTTAACTGTCCTACTCAGAGGTTTTTAGACGCAGGCTAAACCTAATGCCAAACCACATGGACTCCTCCCCAAACTGCCTTTGCTGTCCATCAGTGAACAGCCGTCGTCAGTGGGTGCTGCTGTGAATTGCACCTCTGCGTTACGTCGTGGCCGCCTCCTGTGCGCCATGTTAGTCGTGAGCTTTTGGTGTGAAAGTCCTGTGACACTGTGTGGATCTGCAACAGTTGATGTAAACATGCTGGAGTGAGTTCCCCTGTGCAGGAGTTGCCTTTTTTCAGTGGTGGAAGGGTTAGGGTTACTGAAGTACAATTTTGAGGTATCTGTACTTATTTTCATTTTGTGCTACTTCATGTTTTGATTTTACTACATTTTAGAGGGAAATCTTGTACTTATTACTGCACTATATGCATTTGATAACTATAGTCATTTTGCAGAACCAGATTAATTGGAAAAAATACAGAATTTAAGACTTTACTGATCCCTGGTGGGAAATGTACCAGCTACCCAGTAGTAATTCAAAAGTATATAAGGTAGTTATCATCAGCTCCGCCTTTACCAGCTGCAGTATTAAAGTGATGGACACAGTAACGCATTAGTCACTACGATATAATAATATGATATACATTAATGTTAAATGTGCCATTCTGCATAATGCTTGTGTCTGGCGCTAAGGACAAACAGCAGCGGCCCTCCCCTGCACTGAAGGCAGCTACGAGAAAGCCACAGCCCGAGGTGTCATGTTTTCAGGCTGTCTGTCCGTCACTTTCTCATGAATGTATATCTCTAGAACACCTCAAAGGAGTTTCTCCATGAAGAGAAAGTGAGATGACTCATCACACTGAGTTTTAGATTCCTCAGAGATTTTCCACACCATGGACGCTGCAGTGTTGCAGACTCCACTGCCGGGATGAGTCGGGGTCAGCAGCAGCCTCACTGAGTCTCATCTGAAACAGGAAGTGTTCAAACAGCTAGTGTTTCATATTTGGCGAGAGCCCAGTACGAGACACATGTGGCTGGTCGGTTTGAATTCAGGACCCCATCAAAGTTTTTCTCCTGATGGCACAGGAAGCGCCTCCACCACAAAGAGGGCTAATTCTCGGATGGAAGAGCCCATCAAGGCTCTTTGTTGTCCTAGGTTGTTGGTTTGTGTTTCTTGTGAGCTCATGTTGTGGTGAAATCTGATCTGCACTGATAGTTATTAGACTCTAATCACGTTTTTCATGCCGCCATGAGAGATTATGTCTCTGTGGGTGCTTTTCTGTCTCTGTAGCATCAGCTTTAAATATTCAGCTGCTGTTGTATCTTGATTTTCTCTCCTTTTCCTCTTTCTGTTGTTGGACTGAGGCCTGTGACCCGAAGCATCTGTTAGTGAAGGTTCTTTCTTCTGTAAGATTATTGTGTGAAAGAGTTGCAGCTATTAATTACTATCAATCAATCAAACTTTATTTATAAAGCCAAATGCTATTCAAAGCACTTCACAAGAGACTGACAACACATGGGGTGGCAGAGACAGATCGGTAGAGTAGTGTACAATACAAAGAGCTGGGTTTTCAACCCACTTTAAAAATATACAAAGCTGTATCTCAGCGTTTAGATTTTAATATATTGATTTTTAATGGTCGTGTGTTTAGTGTCAGAAAACAGCATCAAAGTCAGAACAAAGAACTGACTTTATTTTGCTTTCACTGAATTCAGCACCATGAATTTTTTACTCTTTAAATTTCTGCAGTTTCACAACAGTAAATTTAAAAATTGGTTTTAAGAGACAAATACTATGATTATATTTAATTTATTCAAATGATGCTGCTCCCCAGCTGTAAAGCAAAACTATGTTGTTTTTTTAACTAACATTTATTTTATGTAGTTGGCAGTTTACTGATTGTCACCAGAAGCGGGAGGCGTCCATCACGGTTTCTCCTGAGGTCGTGTTTGATCCCACCAACGCCACAGAACCAGAAGAGCTTCAGTTTTCTGATAGAAAACTGAAAAAAAAAGTTTTGGCCGATAAACGTTTCTTTGGCTTAACCATGGACAGTTGATCCTTTATGTGAAAATTTCATTGGACTAGTTGCAGAGACGATGGCGAGCAGGGGATGGCGTGCTGGGCGGGTGTGCTCCCAGGAGCCCCGGTGGTTTCCACTCCAACAGCGTCCTGATGCTGCAGATTGATGAGGGTCCATTCAGGAGGAAGCTGAGAGCTAATGGAGCCGCAGCAGCTAATTTATGACAACATTAACACAGGGAGGAGGCGGAGGGGGGATAAAGTCAGATGGCAATAGACTCGGAGAGGAAACTGATCAGGGTGATGATGAAGGCAGTGACTGACAGCAGGACTTCTGCTGGCTCCAGTCGGTGACACTGTGGAAAACCTCTTGAAAATAAGGCCATTTATGGGAAATTACCACATTTTTCATATTAGAGACGATTTTTAAACATTTATGAACAGCATGACTTTAGTTTAAAAGGGGAGATTTCTGGGTGAAACGAGGACCTTAGATCACTAGAATGACTGCAAACTGGAAAAAAATGAAGAAAAGATTAAAAGAATTTCTAAAAGGGCAGAGTCAGGAAAAAATGGCTTGTTTTAAAGACACAGTTTAATAGCAACAGTTTTTTAAACGTCTGGATGTTTATTGGAAATTAGAGACTAAACTGGACAGAAAGAGGGAATTGGTCTCACCAGGCTGTCGTATAATTCTAAGTTGTGTGGTTCACAAAACTGATGTGAAAGAGTCAAATAAATGAGTTGCTGTGACGTAACGTCTGGAGACACTCCATCATTAAACACTGAGGACAAAACAAACAGAAGCAGCAAAAATGAAACAGGAAACGGTTACTGAGCAAGTTTCACTGATCTGTGCTTCTCTTTCTGTTGGTTTTCAGAGTGTTTAAGAAAGCCAGTCCCAATGGAAAGGTGAGTCCTCTTGTTCTCTATGTTCAACCTGCTCCTGAAATAGTGCTCCTACGCTGGCAGGTGGAGCCGCAACAACTCCACTAACATCATCGACGACGTACGTCGCACTGGCAAACTTACTTTTGTCATCATGGTAACAGCCATAATTACCATGGCAAGCGTACTGAAACTCTGCCATCATGGAAATGGTCATAAACATGCCGTCATGATTATGAAACATCACATTTTCATTACATTTTGTCCACAGGCTGTATATAAACCACTTCTCTCTGCTGTGCAAAATGAAGCCAAAATATCATGAGTACATCGGCTGCCATCCTGGCAAAGAGAAGTGGCGTGACAGCATCAGACGTTAATCAACCTCCTCCTAACATGGTCGGCTTCCTTTGCTCATGTCATAATTACGATGGTCACTCGAGACCGGCAAACTATAACATGCAACTGTTGGCACAAACGACCTATCTGTTTTTTTGTTTTTTTTAATACAGTAGAACATTCACTCTTACACCGTGTCTACATCTCAGGCCTTAACTCTCAACTCTGACCTCATTGTGTTGCTGCTTCCTGTCTCTGTGCGTCAGTGCCGTGTACCCGGCTCCTAAACTGCCACATGTGCACAGGTGTAACTGAAATGTGAGCCATGTGCACACAAGAATAACAACCAGGTGGTGTGTGTGTGACAGTCAAATGGCCCAGTTTCCTCCCAGACCACTGGGTTACGATATGTTCCTCCCAGTTTGTCCTGATCAGAAGCTTCTCCATAAACGTCCACCACATGTGAAACGTCCTGGTCTCTCCACTGACCCCGTCGCTCTCCTCATTGTTTATTGTTACTGGTCTGTGAGAGGCCGATGCTGAATGATGATGACAGGCCGTATGTGCAGAGGAGGAGACGTTAAAACAACCACATGGATTCTGATCTGACCGTTCTGACGGCGCTGCACAGTCAGAGGTCGGAGAGGAATCGAGTCTAGGGGCACATAGGCAGGTGGCCCAGATCTGGTCTGTTCACACTGCTGTGGACACACCAGGTCTGAGTCACTGGCAGGGAAACTGCAGCATGTAGAGCAAATGTAGCCTTAAATTCACTCTGAACTACTTCTGATTGGCTGACAGCTGTGCTCCTCCATCAGCTCACCGTCTATCTGGGGAAGAGAGACTTTGTGGACCACGTGGACTTGGTGGAGCCTGTCGGTGAGACCAGTTTTTACTATTTTTAAGGTTGTTTTATCCAACTGTCCAACAATACAGAACTGAAATGTCCTTCTGCTATTGGCTGGTCTTCCATGCCAGCTGACTGAAGTTTGAGCTTTGGTTAGTGTTTAAAATAAAGACCAGTGAAAATGAGTAAGGTGCCGTCCTCTGGCTCTTTGACCTTCTGACTTTTATTTCTGCAGATGGCGTTGTCCTGATCGACCCGGAGTACCTGAAGGAGAGGAAAGGTGAGAAAGCCCAGCCCCTTCCTATTGGTAAAATGTCACATTGAGCAAACTTTAAATAAAAATTTTGTTTCATTCAAAAAAATAATTATAAAAACGGCTGTCATTATTTTTGGGTGAAATCTGCATTTTTCAGAAAATTTTAATCTGGATCTTCCCAGCAGTGAATTTGAATCTGCATTACTTTGTGGAGGGACATGATCTTGTGGGTGCTGACTCAAGAAGTCTGTCAGCAGCCACACTTAGAGGTCTAAATTCAACTTTTAACACAGGTGACTCGATTCTCATTTGTACAGGAAACAATCTGGCCTCCAAGTCAGTTTTTTAACTTGTTTTTGATTATATATTCTCCAATTTTAGGTGTTAGAAAAGCCAAGTTCCCCCAGTGCAAGATCCCAAAGCCAAACAGAGCATCTCTACAGTATTTAATTATTTGGCATCTTCTTGTTCCTTGAGCTAACTTTTGAATTGTAGCTTTGTAAATTTTATTTTCAAACATGAAAGTATCAGTTCTTTTTAAAAGGCTTATTCCAACACCAGGGCATAAAATTCAGGCAGAGAAATTCAGTGTTTAATATAATTTTCATTTTGTAAGCCTGATTTTAGTCAGATTCAAGTGTATGTTGAGTTGAAAAATGCTGGAATCGACATTCCCCACAGTGATTCTGTTTTTATCTGTAGTAAACAAACTCATTGTAGTTTTCTAAAACCATTAATGTGTCTCTGAAACAGTTTGAACATAAACTGAAAGTGTTCAGCAACAGAGGAGGCTAGCCCCATGGTACAGCTCGCAGCTCCACTCCCTAAAGCAGGCATCACGAAAACTGGAAAGGAGGTGGCGC